ACACACAGCACTGTACGCAGGGCTACTGCGTATATCAACAAATGAAATTAATACATTGTAATATGGGCCAGTATAAGCTAGAATTGTTCAACCTTAAACGATTGCAAGAATTTTGATACAGTTATACAGTTCTTAGGTAAACATTATGGGCAATAGTTTTGTCGCGTTTTTTTAGCTGAAATATTACAAGTCACCTATTTGTGCAGTGAAAGGGTAGTGTTTGTCATTCTGCGTCATGTACATGTATGGGTTCCGTGCGTCACATACAACACATTGCAGAATCTGACCAGCCCCCTTAAAATCCATTTATCATGTTAGATCATGATGACTGTCCATGCATGCCTGGGTTTTAGTCTAAATAATAAAAAAAAAAACATGTTCTTGAAATTACATAGGTTATGGAAATTATTCTGTATAACAAATCATCTGAGATTTTGTTTTTCACCAAAATTTTGCTTCCTTATCTCTACTGTGTACCTGTATTAAGAGTACAGAAGCATCTTCATTTTGTATCAAGATATGGTTCCATTCAGTCAGTTGTCTTCTCCAATTGCAATATGTAACCATTTATGTAGAAATGTGTTTCTATAGTTACATCAATACAGTATTGTTGTGTTCGCCTCAGATTATGGTTTTCTTCATTTTGACAAAAACAGCTCTATTAGAAGCAAACATGCTTTCATTTCTTTACAAAACCTGTTATGTAGGATTACTCTACTTCTTACTTCTTACATGCAGCTCCATTGGAGATGGCTTCTAAGCTAATAAAGCGAATACGATATGATTTAATTTGTACTTTGGTGTGAACAGGCTTTCATCTCATCTGCTAGTTGTATAGTACCCAGTAGTCCTATTTAACTGTACGCTGGATTTTGCTTAAATGTTTAAATTGCCTCTATTACAACAATCCAGGTTTTACAGCTTTTTTTCCTCAAAAAGTTTGTCTGTGTCATCATAAATCCTCCATTTAGAAGACTGATTTTTCCCAACAGGACTTTCCAGGTCATACTGAATTTACTGAACGACTTCGAAAAACATTGTACTACGGATCCGACCCCGATACTGACCAACCATCACTACCTGTAACCGGTAAGAACTATAACAAAAATAACTTGATTTCTGTTCACTGTAAGATCTTGTTATGCTCAAAAATTTAATAATTTGATTTTGAACTTTTTTTTTATAGTTCAATGTAAAAAATACCAAGCTTCTGGGTGAACATGGCATTGAGACACATTCACTTCAGAAAAATTTACATCGTGATATGTGTTTACCTTTTCACCACCAGACTTCCTTGTCCAAACGTTTCTGCACTTATTTCTTATATTCTTCAATATTTCTGGAAATGAACCCTAATTTTAGAGCCAAGAGACCAAATTTGAGTTATTTTTAAGTTTTTACCCCAACAAATTTGCTACTTTGGTTACAATCTTCTGAAGGAAGTGCAGACTATGAACTGGACTATTCTGTGAATTTGTGATGAAAATAGGGGAACTGGTAGTGAAAAAGTTGAGCATTATTCATCAAGGAAATATTTTTGATTTCACGTATAATGCCAAATTCATTGTTTCTACACATTTTGTAAATGATGTACCAATGATGGTATGGTATTGTGTTTCAACACCATAGCTAATATTAACTTTTATTTTTTTCAGATATTGCTATTGACCTGTTCCAGGATGCTTCTCCATCTCCGCATAAAAAAATTGACAAAAACTTTGCTTCTCGAATCTCCAGGTACAGTTCTTAAATTTGTAATTTTGGGATTTTCTCAAAGAAGCAAAAATCATGCATTTAAAAGCACGTGAACATTGTGTGTTGCCCAATCCATGCATTTAAAATACATATTTGCCACTCAGAGTATACCTACAATTGAATGTTCTTTGCGATGTGGAAGTTCGTGTACTAAGGAAACTTGCCACCTTTCTTGTACATGTAGGCTGGAATTGAGCTCTGTTAATTGTAGTTTGCTTGTTAGGTCTTTGTAAATTGCTGCAGTTTACGTTATAGTGCTAGAATTCATTCTTTAGATGCCTCATTCTATGTTTAGGTGATGTCAAAAGGTAAAATATAATGGCTACACAATTACGACAATTACAATACCTGCAAAGTTGCATAGTAAAATATTCAGTCTGTCAATGTCATTGTAAGCTTGTAACAAATTAATCAATTGTAGTGTTACCTATGAAAACTGTTATCATATTATTACGTTTTTTAGGAAATCTTCAATGTCCCCGTGTGCATTCATGCTGTCTATGGTGTATATTGAACGAATGAAACGAACCAACCCAGAGTACCTTGTTAAGATTTCATCTGCCGACCTGTTTCTTGTTTCTATGGTGAGAATTAGTCTAGTGAAGTACACGTTACCTACTCAATTGCATGTTTTCTATATTACCTGTCTCAATGTGTGATCACTAGTGAACCAGTCCTCTGGAGTTTGCTTTCATTTTGGCTTTGACTTTAGTTGAAATTTGTTACCTAACAGTGGCAAAAGCTGGTAGTTGCCAATTTGCAGCTTAGCTATTTTCAGTGATGAGTTTTCTGTAGTATAAACATGCATAAAGTGCCATAGTTCTAATTGAGGGATTGTTTTCTTGCTCTAGATGATTGCTTCTAAGTATTTATATGATGAAGGTGAAGAAGAGGAGATGTATAATGATGAATGGGCTGAAGCTGGTAGGTACAGTGCTGCATGTTGGCATCACCAATTTGTGTGTTGACATCACCAATTTGCGTGTTGACATCACCAATTTACGTGTTGACATCACCAATTTGTGTGTTGACATCACCTATTTGCATGTTGACATCACCAATTTGCATGTTGACATCACCAATTTGCATGTTCACATCACCAATTTGCATGTTCACATCACCAATTTGTGTGTTGACATCACCAATTTGTGTGTTGACATCACCAATTTGTGTGTTGACATCACCAATTTGCATGTTGACATCACCAATTTGTGTGTTGACATCACCAATTTGCATGTTGACATCACCAATTTGCATGTTGACATCACCAATTTGTGTGTTGACATCACCAATTTGTGTGTTGACATCACCAATTTGCATGTTGACATCACCAATTTGCATGTTGACATCACCAATTTGCATGTTGACATCACCAATTTGCGTGTTGACATCACCAATTTGCGTGTTGACATCACCAATTTGTGTGTTGACATCACCAATTTGTGTGTTCACATCACCAATTTGTGTGTTGACATTACTGAGTTATGTAGTGGCATCACCAAATTATGTGCTGAGTGATGTAGAAACTAATTGTAACTAATTCGAGACACTTTTTAGTTACATACCCGGTAATTTAAAACCATATGGTAACTATGGCTAGAAAATGGTAACCAGTATTTCATGTTCTTAGTAATAATTCTTATTATAACTGATTTTAATGTTGTGTTTCAGCTGGAATCGATGTGGACACTGTGAACGAAATGGAAATTGACTTCTTGGCTGCCATTGTAAGTGAAGAATACTCTAAATAACCTATTCTTGATACCATTTATTATTTATGTAAAGTGAAATTTCAAATTCACAAAATTTGTCTTCAACAAAGTTAAATTGCTAGTTATTCCCTTTAATCAAAAGCAGTCGGTAAAATCTTTTATAAATATTGTGCATTTGTCGTGCAATATCGAAAGAACATCGACAGTTATTCGGTTGCATGTATAGTTTTTTGAAAGTTTGATGAATTGAAATCCATTTTATTTTTATTTTAAAGGACTGGAATTTATATATTAAACCAGTTGAATTCTTTCAATTTCTCCACAAGATAGAAACAAGGTAAGAATACTTGCTACAAATGTATATACATGTATCATCAGGCATTGGTTCGTCTTTGTCTTGTTGAATATTCATTGGAAGTCTGCATACCTTGTTAAGTCAACATCAGTTGATGTTTTTGATGAGAAATCATGAGGCCAAGATGAAAGGAGAGCAGAAGTCTAGCTTTTATCACTCCGTACATGAAATTTGAGATCTATGAATGAATTCTGGCGATAACAACGTGTATGTGCTACGAAATGCCCTAAATATCGTGTATAACATGTGCTGTGAAGTAGGACAGAACAGAATTCTCAAATATCAAAATTGTAAACTTTCAACAGTTCTTCTTGAAGTTAAGGTATTTCTCTCTTCCCTGACGCCTAAATTAGAGTATTTATAATAATGTTCTCGCATAGAATTTATTAGTTTCTTCACAAACCATCCATTTTAAACCTAGTATAACATTTCCTCATCGAGTCCAGAAAAATTAAACCCAGTAAAATTTATATTTGTTCACAAAAACAGCAGACATAGTGTACTTGCTAATGACATGTTTATGTTGGCTGTGTTGGATGTGTAACAATTTGTAGCATAGTGATTCTAAAATGACGTGAAAGAGGATGGGGAGTATACAGAGATTTTTCTAAAATTGAGTCGTTGTTTCGTTTTCAGGATCGCGATTCAAGAAGGAAATAAACGAGGCTGGTTTTCGTATACTGATTTGTTAGTGCTTCTTGAAGGACAGAACTTTCATAATATTTTCATGAATGCTATTAACCAAACTGTACAGGTAAGGTGGTATTTCATTCATACATGGTTATTGCTTGAGTCTGTGTACAATGTGATTTTGAAGAAGAGGAAGATTTGGCTGTATAAGTGTAGAATATATGCTATTGTAGTTTGCAAACCGTGTTTCTTTGTTTACAATCATCTACATCTTTTCAATTCCTAATTTTCGAGTTGTTAGTTTTCTACGGAATTCCGCTAGAGGGCGCATCCAAAATACCCGGATGACGAGCCTGAGTGGGGTTGTTTTTATTGAAGTTCTGTATTCTTACATGCGTAAATCAATAGATTGGAAAAGCAAAAAAGTTCCAGAACTCCGCAAATTTCTTCGGAATCGTGGTATAACTTGCAGCAATATTAATGTTCGTAAAGCTAAACTTTTTGAACTTGTTGAGTTAGCAAACGAGTTGAATGTTCGCCAAGAGTCAAACAATCGTCGTCGTACTGTAAAACACAGGGAGTCGACGCTAACTCTGGTAGATCCGTGTAACGTAAAAACTTGGCAAAAAAACCTTCATACTTTGCCT